GATAATTTTGACAACTGTGTCATTCTTTCTTTGTTGTCAAGGGAGGGAGGGAGGGAGGGAGGGGGGGGGGTATTTAATTTTATCTACACTTATAATGCATGTGTATATAGCATCATTATTGCTGAAATTAGCAATAAAAATAGTAATATGAGAAAATGAGAAAAACAAATATGTATCTCCTAACCGAAAATTGCTTGCAGTTACAACTTAAAATTGTATCGTCCTCAAAATTTAGTTTGAAGTCTTTAAAATATGAATTAATATGTGTTACATCGTAATTGTGATCGTTCTGTGTTCTCGACATGTGCTTGGTGATTGTCAGATTTTCAAAAAAACAGTAACTGTAACAGTATCCATATAGCACAGATTGGTTTATTTGTCAAAAGCTCAAAGTTGTATTGTTGGAAAACTTGGCCCAAAAACAAATCTTTTATACTAATCAAAGCTGACGGATTGCGCTGTTTATTGACTACGTTAATATTGTTTTCACTACAAAATGCATTTAAAAAAACTATGTTTTCCTTAGTTTCCTTAGTGATTTAAATAAACACCGTACGGAAACAATGAAAATATTCGATTCCATGCAGCATTTTGTGCCCATTTTGTGCCCTATTAGTTGTTCTTTTCGTTTTCTTTTCACAAATCTGAATCAAAAATGTCCATGTTGTAACAGAACTAATATAGGGGAACATTGTAGTATCAAAGTTGCCTTGCAATTGAATAACTCATTGCAACTAACAATCACGTACTTTCGCGCGTCAAGAGTTTATTATTTACATCACAACTCACTTGTCTTAATTACTTCTCTCGTATTACGCAGAAGTTGCACGTATTTTAAGGACATTTTCTCAAGCAACAATTTTTTTCAAAAAACAGTATGAATACTAGCATCAATATTTGTATCTTATTAGGCAAAATAATTAACAAAGACCGTCGTTTTGTGTTCCACCTCGTGCACAGAATTTATCATATTATCTATTCATCAATTTATAAGTTATTTTATAGTCTACATTCTGACAACAAATCTTATTTTAGCGAAACAACAAGGAAACAAACCTTTCTTGAGTGGAAAACATTTCAAATGGAACGTCACAAAGTAGTTTTTGATGACCAATCATAGCCACCATGTAGGGTAGAAACTTTTAGAAATGTCAGGTTTTGTAGCTTGAAACTTTTCAATTCCTAATTGCAATGCTGAATGCTAAATAAAATCATTCACAAAATGACACACAGGTTGATATATTGCCCAAGACAATCTCAATACATGTACACTAACTACCTTTTCAGGTATTTACTTGGGATGAAATCATTTCACTATTCACAGTGCGCTATGACGTTTGGTTTTACTGTGAGCGCGACTTGAAAACAAACTTTTTATAAACTGGAGACGCACGTAACGATCTTAAAATTCAAAATAAAATCTCATTTGCATATTCTCTAATTAATGTTTGATATCAGATGCGGATATTTACATTTTTCAGATTTCTATTGAAATACGTGGATTTATTGACAAATGGTAAAACAGGTTTAAGAATATTTGTACCACTATGTGGCAAAACAGTTGACATGAAATGGTAAGTTGTAATACACCAAAACGTTATACAACATTATTATCCCACGTGTTCTTGTTGCAGATTACAGATGTAGTTATCATTAATAGCAGCGGTAGTGTCTGCACCCAAATTAGAACCCATACTCATCATGCAGCGAGTTAAAGCCGTACAAATATTTGACCGTGACCTATCAAAGATCCACTGCATAAAATGTGAACTTGGTCTGGTAGTCAGAGTCCGCAGTTGATTGTGTTTGACTGGTTGATTCCAAGATATGGAAATGAAAATGTCACCCCAGCGCCATTATGATAAGCAGATTGTCCCAATTGTGCGACATATGTATATGTGTTATCCCCCAATAATGAATGTTGCACTTATCTTTCAGGTTAGCTGATATGGGACACCACGTGATAGGTGTTGATATTTGCAGAATGGCTTTGAAGCAGTTTTTCGAAGAGAATAACTTGGAGTACACGATGAGTACTGTTAAAGGTTTGGAAAATGGAGAATTGTACCAGGTGAGGACCATATCGCAATCACAATGTAATTTTAATCTGAAATGTATCTAAT